CGGCATACTGCAACCTCTGTCTCCTGGGTTCAGGCGATTCTCCTGCCTTAGCCTCCCAAGCAGCTGGTATTGCAGGCATGCACCACCATGCCTGGCTAATTTTTTTTTTTTTTTTTTTTTTTAAGTAGAGATGGGGTTTCACCATATTGGTCAGACTGGTCTCGAACTCCTGGCCTCAGGTGATCCACCCCCCTCAGCTTCCCAAAGTACTGGGATTACAGGCGTGAGCCACCGTGCCCGGCTTGTTTTCTTTTTCTTTTTTGAGACAGGGTCTCACTGTAGCTACCAGGCTGGTCTTGAACCTCTGGGCTGAAGTGACCCTCCCGCCTCAGCCTCCCAAATAGCTGGAATGACAGGTGCAAGCCACTGTGCCTGGCTCTGTTCTCTTACGGTTGCGTTTTAAGAATTCTTTGTATATTTTGGCTGATGATCCTTTATCGGATGTGTCTTTTTGCAAATATTCTTCTCTCGTTCTTTGGCTTGGCTTTTCATTCTCTTGATAATATTTCACAGAGCAGACAGGTTTAATTTTAATGAAGTCCAACTTATCAATTCTTTCATAGATCGTGTCTTTGGTGTTGTATTGAAAAAGTCATTGCCAAACCAAGGTCATCTAGATTTTCTCCTACATTATCTTCTAGGAGTTCTACAGTTGTTTTTTGTTTGTTTGTTTTTGTTTGTTTCACTTAGGTCTATGCTCCATTTTGAGTTAATTTTGTGGAGTGTAAAGTCTGTGTCCAGATTTGTACTTTTCCACGTGAATGTCCAGTTGTTCCAGCACCATTTCTTGAGAAGACTATTTTTTTCCTCCATTCTATTGCTTTTGTGCCTTTGTCAAAGATCAGTTGACTATTTTATGTGGGTCTATTTCTGGGCTGTCTATTCTGTTCATTGTCTGTTCTTTTGCCAATACCACACTGTCTTACGTAATCTGCTTTTCAACTCATTTACTGAGACCTTAATTTGGGTTATTATGTACTTTAAAAAAAAATTTCTACAGTTTCTAATCGGCTCTTTGAAAAATTTCCTGTATCTTTTTTTTATGGGTTTCAGATGTGATTTTATGTATTTGGAGCACAGTAAGTATGGCTGTGTGAAGACATGTGTCTGACTGCTCCTGGGCTTGTAGCCTCTCTGCCTGGCTCCTAATCCCTGTGCCTCCATTGCTTCTTTACGTTGCTGCCTTGTGTACCTGGTCACCTCTGATTGTATGCCAGGAAAGATATATTTGATAAACTGTTGGCAGAAGTATTTTGAAGCATCTGATGAGACCTCTCTGGAGGAAAATAGTATTTGCCACCCTCCATTGCCTGGGGGTACCAGCAGTCTGGCATCCTCATCATCGGATTTCAGGTGTTGGGGGCCTCTGGGCCCCAGGTGAAGTAGGGCTGGGCTGCAACGCCTGGTGCTGCTTTTCTCCATGGTGCAGCCTGTCCCTTCTCCTGCATCCTCACTCCTCCTGCTGGCGAGTGGGGCCAGAATCGACTCCGTGTCCAGCATGAGGGACACACAGTCCCAGCATGAGGGATGGTGGCTTTTCAGGGCACGGTGTTCATTAAAGGAGGTTACTCTGTCCCTTCGCCAATGAGATGACAAACAAGAGGCACCTGGCATGTCACACCAGGGGCCACTGATGGCATGCCGTCTGCAGTGATCAGCCTTGCCCCTTGATCCCCCATGTGCTTTCAGCTCTGTCTTATTGGGTGCTAGTGCCAGATTCAGGGCCCTGTCACTCCTCTCTGACCTTGCCCTTGCCCCTTTGGAGGTGGTGTCCACCTGCCATTGGCATTGAGTGTTCAGGATGGACTCGCGTGCCCAGCTCCCCCTACCACCACCTTGGCTGGCACCCCAGCCCCTGGTCCTCCACCCTCCCTAACAGAGTGACAAATTATGTGGGCACAGGTTCCCTTGAGCACATTTTGAAACACCGAAAGAAACGTCAATCTAGGGAACAGTTGACATGACACTCCTTTATTAAAACCTAGGGACATTGTTATAAAAACTACTGTATATAAAGACAAAAGCAGAGCAACAGCGGTCAGTGAAAAACACATTATTATTGTTACATTCTAGTATTATTAGGAATATTATTGGTTTTTGGTTTTCCCAGTTATCAGCTCTCAGAGAGACCCCATGCCTGCTCACATGAAGTCAGTTTACAGGAGAGAAAATATTTCTATCCCCCACCCCTGCCGCTGCGTGCCCTTGTCCAGCTGGCCCTGGGGAGGACACATCCGCCTTTTGTGGGAGGTTTCCTGCCTTGTTAAGGTGACTGAGCCCCTCACCTTTGCAGCCCCCACCTCATTACTGCACATCGTCCAGACACTGACCACTTGGTTATTTGACTGTGATGTATGCCACTAGCTTTAAAACGGGAAATGGGGAAAAATAGGAAGAAACTGGGTATGAGAAACTGACGTGCAATTCCAAAAACAGGCTCTGTCTCGGGCCACCAGCTTGGTTCCAGTTGTGGCCAGGGTGGCCATGTCATCTACGGTTTTTGATCTTGTGCTCAGGGTTGGCGCTGACCAATGTGGGATCCTGCACATTTTGGAGGCTGGTTTAGGGTCATTCAACAGGATGCCTCATTGTACAAACCCAAGGGTCACCATTCTCAGTGCAGTCTATATAAACAGCATCCCTGGGAGCCCATTACCATTTATGGGATGGTATCATGAATGGTGCCTCCTGGAGGTGAACCCTGCAGCAGCCCTGGATTTCAGTCTGTCAAGGGCAAATCTGTCAGGGCTTTGAGGTGAAGATAGTTGTTTTAGGTACAGAGTAACTAATAGTCAAACTTGCTCATTCATCAAGCATCTATCTAGCACCAGCTGTTGGCCGGGAGCTTGGACTAGAAACTGGGGTGGTGGGGGCAATGATACCTCCAAGGTCACTTTCATGGGTAGGACAGGTAAGTGTTCTGATTTCATTTTGTGAATCTAAGCATGTCTGTTAGGCACAACTAGTCATTTCACAGGTGGTCCCAGCTATAGCAGGAATGGCTCCCAGATGGGCCCTGGGTCTGGGGCCAGGCAAGCGGCAGGCGCTCGGCAAGTATCTGCTGAATAGGTGAGGGAAATGCGTGTCATCGAATGGGTTTTCTAGGAGGGTCCTGACCTCTTCTAGCTCGCCTGACTGCTTAACTTTAACATTTGAGCTTTTCGGGCCACAACCCCCAAAGTTGTTTGCATGCACTTAAGCACCAGTGTGGGATGTGTTGGTGCTACAGGAACTAGGGCACTGTGCATGGCATCTGGCACATAGAAAGTGTACAGGCTTGTCTTCCGGAGGGCACAGGGCATGGCCCCAGCCCAGTGATATATTCCTGGACTGCAAAGGGCGGTGATCAGAGTGCCATCCACTCATGGCCTGTCCGACTGTCCTGATGCTATGGGGGCCAGGCAGACACCCTCTGATGCCCACCACGTGAGCAGGATGATTAAGAATCCCTGCAGTTTGCTTCCATGACTCTAACCCTAGATTTTCACAGCAGACAAAACCACCCACGTGGATGTGTCCCTATAGGGATGGGTGGCCCTTCAACATTGATAAGACATGTTCGCAATAACTCCATCCAGGTCTGTTATTCCTTCCTTCCTTCTTACCTACCTACCTACCTACCTACCTAGACAGTCTCACTCATGCCCAGGCTGGAGTGGACTGGTGTGATCTCAACTCTCTGCAAGCTCTGTCTCCTGAGTTCCTGTTATGTTAATTTCAAACATGTGGGAAATCTGTAAATTCACTTCTGAAGGCTCTTCCTGTTGATGGGGACCAGTTCAGCCAAGTTGAAAAATTAAAATAATGGCACAGTCTCTAATAGACATGGTGATTGTGAAGGCAGCCAAGCCATCGGAGGGGCCTGGGTGGGGACAGCGGCTGGAGGGATGTAAAGGGTGTGGCCACACCAGGCTGGAATCCTGACCTCACCTGGACAGTGGCCTGTGGGCGAGTCAGTGCCAGGCTCAGCCACACCCACAGCCCTGGTCTGTTTGACATGACCTGAAGAGAGCTTTTGGGTTGACGGTGAACTGGGAACCATCTCCTGGCCAAAGAATCCTGTTAACCCCCATTCCTGGTTGTGTTTTCTCTGACAGTCCCAAGTCCTTCTCTTCAGCTCTGGGCCAAATTTGACTGAATCTTTCTGATGATGAGGGGAGATGCCACCCACCCTGGGAACACTGTCAGCTGCCTACTTGCTGCTTTCTAGAACATTGGAGACAGCAAGAGGGACCAGATCTACCTGTGAAATCACCTGTGTGTGTGCATGTGCACGTGTCCATGCATGTGTGTGCATGCACAGCTGGTTGTGCACACATGTATTCATGTGCATGTATGTGTGTGTGCATTGTGTACTTGTGTGTTTTCAATTAAGGCCCGTTGCACATCAGCAATGGTCATGGTCAGGTGCTGGCCTGGCAGCTGGAGGGGCCAGGCGAGGCAGGTGAGCAGGCTGCTTCTCTAGGTGCAGGGCATGTTCAGAGGCTAACGTGAGGGCAGCGAGCCAGCAGGCACTACCAGCTATTGGTTCTGAATAGAGATTCTGAAACACACAACAATCACACCGTACACAGACGAGGGGGAAAGCATAAAACTGCTCATGAATCACACAGTTCCCAGTGGGAAACAGTCCTTACAAATGCGGTAGTTCTGCAAAGCAGCCTCGAATGCAGATTCCTCTGTGGACATCTTGTCCTCCTTTCTCTCGTGTTTTTCTTTATGTATTATTATTACAAATTACATGGTTATGGACAGAAGCTCACAGTAAAAAGCAAAAGTAGGCAGCTTAAAAAATCAGGTTGAGGAGTTGCTACAAAACGATAACTCGAGAAATCTATGCTTGAACTTGTCACTACCCTGCATCCATCTTGTTCTCAGGGACACTCTACTCATTAAAGGACCTGCCCGCCACAACCACAGCAGGATGGGGACAGTGTTTCTCACAATGACCTGGGGACCCATGGCATTTTGAGGAGCCCTTGACACCACTGGGGGATTGAATACCCACACCTGCTTTCTACACCGAGTGTTTATACCCACGTGCACACCGTTCTCACCTCCTCCGTGAGACAGCAAGTACCGTGACCCCCTGGCACCCCACCTCACACACTTGACAGGTAAGAAGCAGAGGCTCTGAGAGGTTAAGTGACTCGTGGGGGTGACCTGTGGGAAGGAGGGTGCTGTGGCTGTCTGTACCTGCCTTTGCCGCAGGCTATCTATACCAGGTGTGCTGGGTCTTGGTGATCTCTGCTGAGACCTCCTGCTTGCCACAGAATGTTCCAGTCCTCAGCCCAGCTGCCCAAGAGGGACTTGGCAGAGCAGTAGGACTGCAAACCCCATGGGTTTTTCAGTTATTCCTGAAAAGACCTTTTTCAGGAGGAACGTCCTCCTAGAAGGTTGTAAATCTCAAGGGATGCTTAGGTGAACCCCAGCTCTAGCTGTTGTCTATTTGGCAGTGACCTCTGACCCCAGGTGTGCAGGAGAGGGAGGCAAGGTCACCAGTTCCTTTTTGGCGGAGGAAGCACCTGTAGAGCATCATCCAGGACAGCAGGACACGAGGGCTGCAAACCCCTTAAATACCCATCTGACTCCTTCCTCTTACTGATGGGGAAACTGAGGTAACAGACCTTGCCTGAGGTCACACTGTTTGTTCTCAGTGGCAGAGCTGATGTCAGAATCTGGGTCTTGGGCCCCTCACCCCAAAGCTTCCTCTGCCTTCCGAGGCACTGCACATGGGACAGGCTGTGCACCCCCTTATGGCACCATGGCCCTGGGATGGCTCACATCAGGGGAGAGGAAGCCATGCCTTTCTCCAATTGAGACCCCAAGCAGAGGTTCTCGCACTTTGCCTCTGCCAAGCTGTAGGCCTGGCATACCGCTGCCAGCACTGCCTGGAGGGGACAGGTGAACCCAAAGACTGAAGCCAGGGGCCTGGGTCTTCCACAGCCAACCTGTGTGACCCTGGGCAAGCCACTTGACCCGGCTGAGTCTGTCTTCTCATCCATAAAATGGGGAGAGCCCCTTCTTCACGGGGCTGTTGAGAGGATGGAGAGCCAGGCAGAATGGGGATGCTTTATGCCTAGCAGGTTTGTTCTGCTTTTCCAAAGGCAGGGCATTGTTTGCACAGCTTGACTCACAGCGGAGCCCAGAGCTGGGCATGCTCGCCCGCCCTCATCTCCTCTGGGTCCCAGCCACTTGGCTTTCTTATGCTTCCTTGAAACCACCAAGACTATGGCTGCTTCAGGGCCTTTGAACTAGCCATTCCTTCTGTCTGAAATGCTCTTTTCCTATCTTTAATGCCCATTACTGGCTCCTGTGTGTCATTCAAATCCGGGCTTCAATCATCTGCTCAAGAAGGCCTTTCCAGACCACCCCAGGTCCACAAGTGTCTCACTCACGTGTCCCTCGAACTGAGTTCCCAGCAGAGCACTCACTGCCCTTGCCACCTTCCTTCTTCACCGTCTTGCCCCAGCTAGAAAGCCAGCACAGTGAGCAGGGACCTGCCTTGTTCACTGTCGTGTCTGGTGAATGGAGGGGTGGTCAGTGTGAGAACACTAGGTCTGATGAAATGAGGAAACTGGATCAGAGGACACACATGTTTATTGAGCAAGGCCTCCCGAGCTAAGAGCTGAGGGAGGTCTGGTATCACTAACGCTCATGGAATGTGTGTATCTACACTGGCAGCGTGGCCTTTGGAGATGTTTGTGATCATTTAGGTGATGCCATCTCATAGGTGCAATGGGGCAGGAGTGGAGGTGATTAGCTCTGTGGGTGGATGTTATGGGCATCTAGGTTTATATGGAAGTCCCACTTGAAAGTGGATGGATTTCTAGAACCCTCCTCTTTGGGTTTCTGTAGCCTCGTTACCCTGTCCAGCAAAGATCCCTGTGTCTGTGTCTCCCACCAGATGAGAGGCTCCCCAGGGGCAGAGATAAGGTCTGACTCATCTTTCGTCCCCATCACTGCCCAGCACGGGGCCTGGCATGCAGCAGGTGCTTAGCCAGAATGTGCTGAGTGGATCAGCGCTCCAGGCGGTGATGGCGGAGAACTCAGGGAGATCGCCTGTGGAGGCATCAAGGAGATGCTCCTGGCATTGTGCAGGGCGTGCCCTGGCTGGGGAGCACGTCATGTCCAGGGAGTTGGAGCCTGGACTTTGGGTTCCTGCACCCCTGAGATCAAACGAGGGGTTGGTCTCCTCCTGGCCACATGCCCCTGGGCACCCCTTCTCCACTGTGAGCTTTTTCTGCAAGGGGTTAATCATACCTGCCTCCCAGGTGGTGAGAAAGAGAGTGCATGAAAACACTCAACTTGGTACCTGACCTGTGGTTAGCCTGAGATGCGTCCCTTAGTATTACTATTGTTACAGGAATGAATTCTGTAAGAACCAACCCTACTGGCATTTTCAAATCCCCAGTGCCCCCCGAGACACAGAGGGGCTGTACCCTGTGCTTTAGCAAGAAGCTTGCGGCCTGGACATTGACACTGATCCGAACCCCCAGCTAGAGGGTGACCCATGCCCATCAGAGAACTTGAGGGGGAAGCCCCGATAAAAACCAACCAACCAAACAAAAAGAACACCCCAAATCACACACGCGCACACACACACGCGTACATCCAATATTCTGACACAAATAGCCCCAAGGGGCCACTATTGGAGGGAGCAGGGGCAAGGGAAGCTTCGGTTTTCAACCACGAGTATAACTCACAGACCTCAATCCTCCTGGCTGGAATCAGCCAGAGTTGCTTTGTCTTGGTCATCCTGAGTCCACAACGAGTCACCTCTCAGAAGCCACCAGCCCAAAATGGGACTATTGCTTGCGGACAGGTGGCTCAGAATCCCTTCCCCGGCACCCCCAGCCCCTACCCCTGAGTTTGCTCCTAATCTTAGAAGTCCACGGAAGAGGGTTTTGGGCACAGGCAGCATTTCTTCCTCTGCCACCGCCGCTACCTCGGCTGTCCCTGGCATCTCTGTAGAAGTTGTTCTTCTCGGAGGCTGCACTGGGTGCTTCAGATCTCATCTCCCCCATCCTGAGGCACAGCAAAAGGGTTTTCTGGAAGAAATACAAGGAAAAAAAGTATCACATGGTGTCTCCTCCATGGGGACTCACTGGGGACATTTCTCTATGGTCTCAGTGCCAGAAGAAGCCAGGTTTCTTTTGAGCACGTGGGTTTTGTCTTCTGAACATTGTGAACCATGTGACTTTAAGATTGGAAGCAAGAAAAAAAAAATCTGCTATCATTATAGCTCCATATAGTACTAGAGCTCTGGCCCATGCAATAAGACAAGAAAAATAAGCATAGAATAGGACTGGAATAGAAGAACCAAAATTACAGTTAACTGTGGATAACTTACTAGAAAATGTAACAGAATCAACAGGTTAATCAGTAGAATGGAGAGTGCAGACATAGATAAGACATCAAATCAACCTATAAGACATCAAATCAATTTATAAAATGCAACAATGTGCATTGACCTCAGCAATTACTAGGGTAATTATATGTCATGGCTTGGGACAGTCTCAGTTAACACTTGTTCTGACATAATTTTTAATGTTGTTCCCCTTTTACCCTCAAAAGTATTCTGATTTGGATGATAAATCATATGGTCACCCTTGCTATAACAAACTAAATATTAAACACAGATACAGATTCCATTCATATTGACAAAAACCATTATGTATTTTAGAATGACACTAATATATGACCATGTCATACAAAGCTATAGAGAAGAGACCAAGGTGCTCCTGGAATAGGGAAGAGCCAGGAGACCAGTGGAACAAGATCTACAGTGTGGAAACAGGTCTGCAGGGCACTTATAGCTTTGATTGGCAGAGTCAAGTTGCAAACTAGACAATGAGGAAAAGAAATGCAAACTCCATCTGTGGCAGGCAGCATGAACCCCACTGCCCTGCGTCTGTTGTAAGACTAATTTCCCAGCCACAGATACTTACCTTTCCAGACTCCCTTGCAAGCAGGGGTGGTCACATGACCCAGTCTGGCCAATGCTGTGTAAGTGGGAGTCTATTGGGAAGGGGACATGAATTCAGGGGAAGATGAACTATCTTGCATGCATGAGAATGAAGGATGCTCACTAACACAGGTGGAGTAGAAAGCAGGGAGAAACTTGGTTCTGGTGGAAGCCCTGGACTGCTCCCTCCACACCACTGCAGTTGAATTTCCTTTACTTGCATAAATTGCATCTGGTGACAGTTCTTAAGTACATGGTTTTTGGGCAAATAGAGAAGTCAAGGGAGTGACTCTGACAAAGCCAGGAAAGCCCACTTCCCCAGAGTGAGTGATACGCCAAGAGGCAGAACCTACTCTCCACTCTTTACACATCAGTGGCAATGTGTACAGGGGTTAAGGGTGAGATATTCCGTGGGGTCATCTGCTCTGCTTCACAGAACAAAGCCAGGTACTCTCCATCACCCACTTTGTTTTTCTCTATAGCACACACCTCTATCCAACATAACACCTATTGTACTTACTTGAATAGCTTATTGTTTGTCTTCCCCAAATAGAAAGTTAGCTACAAGAGGGTTAAGGTGATTGTGTGTTTTACATATAGATGAATGAACCAAGAATTTAAAGCCCAATGAACCATCTTTCAAGTATAAAGTCAACAGAAAAACGTGTTGGACATATTTTTGAATTATAGTTCCCATGACCCTTTCTTTAAAAAGTTAAGGACACCCTTAGGCAAATCAAGAATGATTCAGAAAGGTTTAATATAAAAGGATGGGCAAATGATTTTTTAAAAGTCCTGTGGATGGATGGCGGTGAGGGCTGCTGTATTAATCCATTTTCATGCTGCTGATAAAGATATACCCGAGATTGCGCAATTTACAAAAGAAAGAGGTTTAACTGGACTTATAGTTCCATATGGCTGGGGAGGCCTCACAATCATGGCAAAAGGCAAGGAGGAACAAGTTACACCTTACGTGGATGGTGGCAGGCAAAGGGAGAGAGAGCGAGCTTGTGCAGGAAAATTCCCATGTGTAAAGCCATCAAATCTCATGAGATTTATTCACTATCATGAGAACAGCACGGGAAAGACCTGCCCCCATGATTCAATTACCTCCCACTGGGTTCCTCCCACGACACATGGGAATTGTGG